TGTTTCTCGTTTGCTTGCAGTGGCGCAGTGCCAATTTTATAGGTGCCAGAGCTCTGGAGGGCCTGACAAAAGCCTGTCATTTCCTATTCTGTTGCAATACGTGTCACACGATAAAGTATTTCGTGTTTATACTCACCAATTATCATAAAATATAATTATAAAACAAAGAAAAACATCAATCACGTATTTATCAATTTAAGAAGTTAAAACACTTAGTGTTCACGAAATACAACCATTGAGAAGTTTCACAATAGTTTCCACAAAGTGTCGGGTGTGTGATGTTGTCGGGTGTGAGATGTTGTCGGGTGTGTGATGTTGTCGGGTGTGTGATGTTGTCGGGTGTGAGATGTTGTCGGGTGTGTGATGTTGTCGGGTGTGAGATGTTGTCGGGTGTGTGATGTTGTCGGGTGTGAGATGTTGTCGGGTGTGAGATGTTGTCGGGTGTGAGATGTTGTCGGGTGTGAGATGATGTCGGGTGTGAGATGTTGTCAGGTGTGAGATGTTGTCGGGTGTGAGATGATGTCGGGTGTGAGATGTTGTCGGGTGTGAGATGATGTCGGGTGTGAGATTGATTTTAATTGTTGCCGCCGAAGGTGGCTAGTTTATTGTGCACCCCATACCCATCCTGTGAGCGGTAGCGCAAAAGCATTACAGAGGGCACAAAAGGTCTTTATCAGACCTCATCTTAGATTATTACATAAACAATTTCATCTATCCTTCACACGGGTGTGTGAAGCTACTCTTGTCCTGGTGTCATCTGGCGATCTGTGGCACCATAGCCAATGGCTCAGGATTCCACTGAACTAGAGGAGGCTTATTGATTCATCAATGAGAACAAAAATGTTGCTATTTATCTGTTTGGTATGCTGGCAAATTGTCTTTTTCCTATTGATGGCTATGTGATAAATTATCCGTGGGGCTCTAGTGCGGGAATTCAGTCCCATTCAATGCAAAAGATGTACAGTGACCACAACACAGCAGTTGCAACATCAGGATCTGCGGGTTGGTACAAGAATTCAACCAACTAGGAACCACTTAGTTTGATGAAAGGGGGCAGCAGAATAACAGAAGTACACTAACATCGCATCAGGCTTCGATACCCATGTGCATGGGAAATAGGCTTACACGTTCCGGGAGATGAGAGGAAATGTCAGCACTGTGGAGAAATGCCCGACAGACCACTGGAACATTATCTAACACAGTGCACAGTTACAAACCCAATAAGATTTCAACTTAGATTCAACAGAGCAGTTGTTGTTGTTAAACACACGGGGCAAAATCTTAATGAAGCAACCATACGAGTCATAAATACTCATACTCCGCCCAAGTAAAACAGAAACAAGCAACACTTAGTGGGCCAGCCAGAGACCCTGGGCATGTGCTGGAATTTTCCTGAAAAAAAAAAAATCCCATTCCAATGTCAACACCATTTTGCTTTTGTAGCTCCAGTAAGCCAAAGTGACCAGCGTATGGTCTGTCATTCTGAATTAAATAATATGCAGAACGCAAAGTTGAACAAGTTGTCTTTAGATGCGAAGCATTCATGGCATCACACAATTTTGCAAGAGCATCTTCACTAGCTACATGTTCAACACGTAAAGCAGCTGTGTGAGCGCTCGATAGTTTATGATTAACAATTGTTTTTCTGAGAGACTTAAAACGTGTACTTGGATCTGCTCCATAATAGTACACTTGGTACATCTGCCACTCATTTGGTAGTATTAAACCCTTAGAAATGAAAAGTGTTACATTGTTTATGTTTACATACTTTGCACCCATTTATCATCCCTGAAGTCTTAACCGTGGATAGGTTTCATTTTTTTTTTCTTCCACATTTCTTCAGTTCAAACACCTGAACAGGGATACAAGTTAGACTTCAAAGCACCATTACTTTCTGAATTGCACATGGATCTAGTTTGAAAATTTGAACAAGAAGCAGTCGAAACACAACTTTTGCCACTTTCAGTGTTATTATTATCAGTCTCCTGTACGTTATTCTTCTCACACTCCTCATTTTGTTTACGAAAGAAGTAAGTCAACATTGCTTAGAAGCCATGATGGGGTTGTGTGAAAAAACTGCTTCTGTATTAGAAAGAAATACACGGGCCACCAGCCACCCACGTGTGATCCTGTGGTCCCGGGTTCGATCCCGGGCGCTTGCGAGAAACGATGTGCAGTTTCTTTCACTCTATGCCCCTATTACCTAGCAGTATATAGGTACCTGGGAGTTTGTCAGCTGTCACAGGCTGCTTCCTAGGGTGTGTGTGTGTGTGGTGTGGTGTGGAAAAATATAGTAGTAGTAGTAGAAACAGTTGATTGATTGACAGTTGAGAGGCGGGCCGAAAGAGCAGAGCTCAACCCCCGCAAGCACAATTAGGTGAATACAACTAGGTGAATACCACTTTACTAACGCCACTCAAACACACAAGCACAGTTGCCAACTCAGTATTTCACACAATGCTAGAACCACCTCCAAAAAGCACTAAATTATGTAAAGTTGTGTTTAGCAGTTTTGTCGTTTTATCTGCCTAGTATTTAATACTAAAATATACTATTGTATGAATAAAGAATACCTGTCTAATGATCTACTGCTAAAGTCATAAACAGTATCGCTGAATATTGATATTTAAAGCGGTAGGTTGGCAACTTTGTCTCATACTGTTTGTCTGCCATAAATGGACAGGAAGCGTTCACCTGCGTTGAGTATTGGTTCCACATTACACACAGAAATCACACTAACGTGATGCATCAAATATACAAATCCACAAGGGCCGTGACGAGGATTCGAACCTGCGTCCGGGAGCATCCCAGACGCTGCCTTAATCGACTGAGCTACGACATGGTAAAAGAGTTGAGATCGAAGTTCTACTGAATTTACTGGATCCAGTAGCCTCTCCGAGGCACAAACCAGGGTTTTACAAAACTCCCCCCTGCACCCGAGCTATGTCAATAGGCTGTTCTCCCTCTTTGCCCTTAATTTGATGCATCACGCTATTGTGATTTCTGTGTGTAATGAAGTAAGGGCGTAGAGGGAGACCGGCCTATTGACATAGCTCGAGTGCAGGGGGGAGTTGTGTAAAACCCTGGTTTGTGCCTCGGAGAGGCTGCAGGATCCAGTAAATTCAGTAGAACTTCGGTTTCAACTCTTTTAATATGTCGTAGCTCAGTCGATTAAGGCAGCGTCTGGGATGCTCCCGGATGCAGGTTCGAATCCTCGTCACGGCCCTTGTGGATTTGTTCATTTGTTTCCACATTCCTACCACTACAATTATTCCTCTTTACTTTTTAAATATGTAATTGTTTTTTAATATTATTGAATCTTTTAAAAAACATTGAAATATCATAACATTATTAATTTAATAGTGATGTAATACTAATATTTTCCTGCCACGATCAACCATCACCCAAAAGCCATCATCCCGCGTCCGTCTAATTACCCAAAGCCACTTAAAGCCACCCAAAGCTTCCTGGCATTACGCTAGTAATGAATAAATATGATATATTTACTCATTATAATATTGGTACTGAATGTAGAACATGGAAAAAACATATTTTTTTTTACTCTGAAAAAGTATCATTTCCTAACGAAATTAGACGAAAATAAGCTGCTGGTGACGCCAAAGCAGGTCGAAGGTCCAAGCGACAATATTGTGGAGCGACTTATCCAAGACACATTGTTACCTAAAGAGTATTTGCTGACATATCAGCCTTCTGTATCGACCTAACCTATAATAACCTACCCAAACAAAACCTAACTAAACCCAACCTATCCAAACTTAAGTTAATATAACCTGTACGCAACAATATATCTTGGATTAGTCGCTCCACAACATTGTCGCTTGGACCGTCGACTTGCTTTGGCGTCATGTACCAGCAGCTTATTTTCATCTAATTTCGTTATAAAAGGATACTTTTTCAGAGTAAAAATATGTTTTTCCATGTTCTACATTCAGTACCAACATTATAATGAGTAAATATATCATATTTATTCATTACTAGCGATCATCTCTCTTTTTCCTCATCCTCTCTCCCTTTGCCCTCACCCTCTTTCCCTTTCTCCCCATTCCATCATGCACTTACAATGGTGCCAGAGGGGCGCTCCGGCACCACTGCTTGCTTGTAGTGCTGGTATGCTTGCGGGTTAGGTCTCTTCCGATATTGATATTGAACCCATTTTCTTGTCTTTTCCTCTCTGGCCCTCTTAAAATTTTTCTTCTCTCTGAAGAGAAGAGAAATTCTCTGTTCTCTCTGTATCTCTCTGTACAGATATTTCTCTGTTAAGTATATCTTTTTTTTTTCTTTCCTGGTGAATATTAGATCCAGTACTGACGGAACATCCCCTTCCCTCATTCTTGTGGCCTGCTTGACGTGTTGATACATGTTGTGTGTGTGTGTGTGTGTGTGTGTGTGTGTGTGTGTGTGTGTGTGTGTGTGTGTGTGTGTGTGTGTGTGTGTGTGTGTGTGTATTCACCTAGTTGTGCTTGCGGGGGTTTAGTTCTGGCTCTTTCAGCCCGCCTCTCAGCTGTCAATCAATCAATCCCCCCCCCCCCACCCACACACACACAGGAAGCAGCCCATATCAGCTGTCTAACTCCCAAGTACCTATTTACTGCTAGGTAACAGGGGCATCAGGGTGAATGAAACTGCCCATTTGTTTCCGCATTCGCCGAGGATCGATCCCGGGCCATTGGACTACGAATCCAGAGCCCTGACCACTCAACCACAGGCCCCCCTGTGTGTGTGTACTCACCTAGTTGTGCTTGCTGGGGTTGAGTTTCAGCTCTTTGGTCCCGCCTCTTAACCGTCAATCAACAGGTGGACAGGTTCCTGAGCCTATTGGGCTCTATCTACTCATGAACTATCTACTACACGTGTGTATGTGTGTGTACTTACACAAGTGGTAGTACATTCTCGCTTTCCCTATTTCTTACCCCGCATTCTTTTTTTTTTTTTTTTTGCTATTTAATTTAGTGATGATAACTGATACGTTATTTTTACAGGTGGTGGTTGGCGATGTAATCCGTATGGAAAATGACCAGTTTGTGGCGGCCGATGTGCTCCTGCTCTCCACATCTGAACCAAACGGCCTCTGTTATATTGAAACGTCAGAGCTGGATGGGTAATTATATATGTGCGGTTGGTTTATGGCTGGGCATATATGGGGAGTAGGGGGGGAGGTGGGCAGGAGGGAGGGAGAGGAGGAGGGACGTGATGAGAGAGCCAGAGAGAGAGATATGAGGGAGGTTCAGAGGGTGCATGAGAGATGGGAGGGAGAGAGTGGCGGAGGGAGGGAGGGAGGGAGAGTTCGTTCTCTCTCTTCTCTCTTCTCTCTCTCCCTCTCTCCCTCTCCCTCTCCCTCTCCCTCTCCCTCTCCCCTCCCCTCTCCAACCTCTTTATCTGCCATTCCCCCTCCCTCCCTCTCCTCCTCGTCCCCTCCTTCCCTCTCCTCCTCGTCCCCTCCTTCCCTCTCCTCCTCGTCCCCTCCCTCTCCTCCTCCTCCCCTCCCTCTCCTCCTCCTCCCCTCCTTCTCCTCCTCCTCCCCTCCCTCTCCTCCTCCTCCCCTCCCTCTCCTCCTCTTCCCCTCCCTCTCCTCCTCGTCCCCTACCTCTCCTCCTCGTCCCCTCCCTCTCCTCCTCGTCCCCTCCCTCTCCTCCTCGTCCCCTCCCTCTCCTCCTCGTCCCCTCCCTCTCCTCCTCGTCCCCTCCCTCTCCTCCTCGTCCCCTCCCTCTCCTCCTCGTCCCCTCCCTCTCCTCCTCCCCTCCCTCTCCTCCTCCTCCCCTCCCTCTCCTCCTCCCCTCCCTCTCCTCCTCCCCTCCCTCTCCTCCTCCTCCCCTCCCTCTCATCCTCCTCCCCTCCCTCTCCTCCTCCTCCCCTCCCCTCCCTCTCCTCCTCCTCCCCTCCCTCTCCTCCTCCTCCTCCCCTCCCTCTCTCTTAACATAAAATACGTCGCAATTTTCCTTTTGTGGGAGGGGGAAATGATGCTAACACATTACTTCTATTTAACACACACTCACTCACTCACTCACTCACTCACTCACTCACTCACTCACTCACTCACTCACTCACTCACACACACACACATATAGGGGCCTCGTAGCCTGGTATAGGGGCCTCGTAGCCTGGTGGATAGCGCGCAGGACTCGTAATTCTGTGGCACGGGTTCGATTCCCGCACGAGGCAGAAACAAATGGGCAAAGTTTCTTTCACCCTAAGTGCCCCTGTTACCTAGCAGTAAATAGGTACCTGGGAGTTAGTCAGCTGTCACGGGCTGCTTCCTGGGGTGTGTGTGTGTGGTGTGGAGAGAAAAAAAAAAAAAAAAAAAAAAAAGTAGTTAGTAAACAGTTAATTGACAGTTGAGAGGCGGGCCGAAAGAGCAAAGCTCAACCCCCGCAAAAACACAACTAGTAAACACACACACTCACACACTCTCACACACTCTCACACACTCTCTCACACACTCTCTCACACACTCTCTCACACACTCTCTCACACTCTCTCTCACACTCTCTCACACACTCTCTCACACTCTCACACACACTCTCACTCACCTGAGGACCACATAAAGAATATTGTGCGAAGAGCCTATGCCACGCTTTCTAACTTCAGAATTGCTTTTAAATACATGGATGGCGATATATTAGAGAAATTGTTCACGGCTTTTGTTAGGCCAAAGCTAGAATATACTGCGGTTGTGTGGTGCCCATATCTTCAGAAGCACATCAACAAACTGGAAAAGGTGCAAAGACATGCTACTAAGTGGCTCCCAGAACTGAAAGGCAAGAGCTACGAGGAGAGGTTAGAGGCATTAAATATGCCAAAATTAGAAGACAGAAGAAAAAGAGGTGATGGGATCATTACGTACAAAATAGTAAAAGGAATTGATAAAATCGATAGGGAAGATTTCTTGAGACCTGGAATTTCAAGAACAAGAGATCATAGATTTAAACTAGACTAGCAAAACACAGATGCCGAAGAAATATAAGAAAATTCACTTTCGCAAACAAAATGGTAGACGGTTGGAACAAATTAGGTGAGAAGGTGGTGGAGGCCAAGACCGTCAGTAGTTTCAAAGCGTTATATTACAAAGAGTGTTGGGAAGACGGGAATCCACATGCGTAGCTCTCATCCTGTAACTACACTTAGGTAATTACTCACACACCCACCAACACACGCACACACATACACACACGCTGAATATTGTGTGTGTGTAATTACCTAAGTGTAATTACCTGAGTGTAATTACCTGAGTGTAGTTACAGGATGAGAGCTACGCTCGTGGTGTCCCGTCTACCCAGCACTCTTTGTCATATAACGCTATGAAACTACTGACGGTCTTGGCCTCCACCACCACCTCACCTAACTTGTTCCAACCGTCTACCACTCTGTTTACAAAAGTGAATTTTCTTATATTTCTTTGTCATCTTTGTTTAGTTAGTTTAAATCTATGACTTCTTGTTCTCAAAGTTCCAGGTCTCAGGAAGTCTTCCTTATCAATTTTATCGATTCCTGTTACTATTTTGTATGTAGTGATCATATTTCCTCTTTTTTTCTATCTTCTAGTTTTGGCATATTTAATGCCTCTAACCTCTCCTCGTAGCTCTTGTCCTTCAGTTCTGGTAGCCACTTAGTGGCATGTTTTTGCACCTTTTCCAGTTTGTTTATGTGCTTCTTAAGATATGAGCACCATACAAACGCTGCATATTCCAGCTTTGGTCTAACAAAAGTCGTGAACAGTTTCTTTAGTATTTCTCCATCCATGTATTTAAAAGCAATTCTGAAGTTAAAAAGCGTAGCATAAGCTCCTCGCACAACATTATTTATGTGGTCCTCAGGTGATAGTTTTTTATCTAGAACCACCCCTAAATCTCTTTCTTTATCAGAAGTCTTTAAAGATTTTCCACATAATTTATTGGTTGTGTGGGGTTTATGTTCTCCTAATCCACATTCCATAACATGGCATTTATGCACATTAAATTCCATTTGCCAAGTGGTGTTCCATATACTTATTTTGTCCAGGTCTTCTTGAAGGGCATGTCAATCATTGTGTGTGTGTTTGGGGGGGGGGGGAGGCAGTTAGTAGTTAGTAACAGTTGATTGATTGTTTGATTGACAGTTGAGAGGCGGGCCGAAAGAGCAGAGCTCAACCCCTGCAAGCACAACTAGGTGAATACAACTAGGCAAATACACATTTAAACTAACTAAACAAAACTGCCAAAGTTTCATAAGAACATTCATTTTCGCAAATAGAGTGGTAGACGGTTGGAACAGGTTAAGTGTGGTGGTGGTGGAGGCCAACACCGTCATTAATATCAAAGTTTTATATGACAAGAGTGCTGGGAAGACTGGACACCATGAGCATAGTACTCATCTTGTAACTACAGGTAGTTACACGGGGTCCGTCTAATTACCACAAGCTACACAAAGCTTCAGAAAGCTTCCTGGCAATACGTTAGTAATGAATAAATATGATATGTTAGGTTAGGCTGACCTAACCTAAACTAACCTAACTTAACCAAACCAAACCTAACTAAACCTAACCTAACCTAACCGACGCTTGGATCGTCGACTTTATTTGGCGTCACCAGCTCTTTATTTTCGTCTAATTTCTTAATAAAAATATACTTTTTCAGAATAAAATTGTTTTCTTGTGTTGTACATTCAGCACCAACATTATAATGAGTAAATATATCATATTTATTCATTACTAACATAAGCTTTCTGAAGCTTTGTGAAGCTTGTGGTAATTAGACGGACCGGTTACAGGATGTTAATTTGGTAGTTAAGGCAAAGACAACTTAGGACGTTGTCCTGCCCTGCCCTGGTGACGCTCTATTACTCCCTCATCTATCCATCTCTCAACTATGGTATTTGTGCTTGGGGTTCTACTACCCAAAATCATTTGTGTCCTCTAATTACTCAACACAAAGCTGCTATTAGGACAATATCCAACTCTGGCACCAGACATCACTCGGTACCCCTACTCAAATCTCTGAATATGTTAGATATTAAGTCACTGCACATTCTCTCATGTGTATTATACATATATAAAATGCTGAACTGTAATGCCAATCCTGACCTCAAAAGCTTCATTGAAGGTTGTAACAGAACCCATGAGCACCACACCAGAAACAAATACAGTTTTGATATTCCAAGAGTACGACTTAATCAAACTAGAAATGCTCTACAAATCAAGGGACCCAGAATGTGGAATGACCTTCCCAATCATGTTAAAGACTGTACCTCTCTCAACCAGTTTAAGATAAAAACTAAGCACTACCTAATAAAGTCCCTGTAACCTACCTTACCCCTATATTGTCAACCCATGTCTGTTTTTTTTTAAACAACGCTGTTTGTCGACCTAATTGTATTTGTGCTGCTTTTTCTGCCATGTTCCCCCCATTTTTATTTTCGATTTTATTTGTTCTCAACACATTTTATACTTTAATCTCAATTAGTATTAAGTTTTAGTCTTTAATGTTTTTCCTGCCCAAAACGCTTTGCGTAATAGTGGCTTTAGGCATTGTATGTACTAGCTCTACCTATAAATCTATAAATTTTTGTAAAACCTCTTGTATGTATGTACTTTACCTGAATAAACATTTATTTATTTATTATTTATAGTTACACTTAGGTAATTATACATACGCAAATGAGATGTATGTCAAATTTTGTGAAATATATGATGAAGGCACACACACACATTCATACCAAAACACAGATGCAGGACCATAAAACAAGATTGGTTCAACAAAAATTTTGAGAGGATCAGAGAGGAAAAGACAAGAATATGGGTTCAATATAGGTAGAGGCCTAACCCACAAACATACCGGCACTACAAGTAAACAAGAAACAATTGCACTACACTTAGTGTAGTGTAATTGTAGTGAGGAGAGAGGCAGGGAGGAACTTTGAGAAAGATATTGCTGACAAATGTAAAACAGATCCAGGCCATTTCTATAAATTCGTTGAAAGCATGCTGCATGTAAAGGATAAAGTCCAGAGATTGAGAATGGGGAACAGGACTCTTGAGAATAAAAAAGAAACGTGTGAAACACTAAATAAACAGTTCCAAAGTATGGTTGTACAAAATGAGGATTTCAGAGAGCTGGACTCAATACCAATTCCAGAGCACACCATAGGATACATAGAGGGTCTCAAGACGAAGTGGAAAACTTACTCAAGGGACTAAGAAGAAATAAAGTATTTGGAGCTGATGGAGTTTCACCTTGGGTGGTGCAAGAATGTGCAACTGAGCTGAGCATTCCACTCCAGTTAATATTTCAGACATCATTGTACACAGGAATCTTAGCAGATAAATGGAAAAAGGCAAACATTGTTCCAATCTCTAAAAATGGTAGCTGAGAAGACCCTCTAAATTATCGTTAACATCATTAACCCATATCATTCATATTATCATTAACCCATATCATTCATATTATCATTAACCCATATCATTCATATTATCATTAACCCATATCATTAACAGGCATGGTAGTCAAAACACTACAAACAATAGTTAAAGCCAAATGGGTCAAACACCTTGAGAGTAATGACATAATAACGGGTGGACAGTTTGGTTTTCGAACAGGAAGATCCTTTGTAACAAATCTAATTAGTTTTATGATAGAGCCACAGAGATTCTTCAGGAAAGATGGTTGGGTTGACTGTCTATCTGAACCTAAAAAAGGCTTTTGACAGAGTCCCACCCAAGAGGTTGTTTTGGAAACTGAAACATGCTAGAGGGGTGACAGGACGACTTCTGACATAGATGAAACATTTTCTAACTGACAGACAGATGAAGGCAGTAATCAGAAACAATGTATCTGACTAGAGGAGTGTTACTAGCGAAGTACCACAGGTTTCAGTTCTTGCACCAGTAATGTTCATCGTCTACATAAACAATCTACCAGAAGGAATGTAGAATTATATGACCATGTTTGTGGATGATGCTAAAATACTGGGGAAGATAGGAGACACCCATATCATTACGGGTGTCATTATGGCATCCATTATGGGTGGGACGATTGTAATGCCCTTCAAATTAATCTAGATAAAGTAAGTGCTTGGAGTGACATGTGGCAGATGGAATTCATTGCGAATAAATGCAGTGTTATCGAATGTGGAATCGGAGAAAATAGACCACACACACAACTTATAAATTATGTAGAAAGGAGTTAAAAAACTCAAATAAAGAATGAGATCTAGGGGTGGTTTTGGATAGCACACTGTCACCAGAGGAACACACAAAGATTGTGAGTGGAGCGTAGTATCGATTAAGAACTTCAAATTTGCTTTTAATACATGGATGGTAAAATACTAAAACTGTTCATAACTTATGTGAGACCAAAATGGGAATGTGCAGCAGTTGTATGGTGCCCATATCTCAAGAAGCACATAAATAAACTAGAAAAGGTGCAAAGGCATGCTACAAAATGATATCTGGAACTGAAAAACAAGAGTTATGGGGAGAGGTTTGAGGCACTAAACATGCAAAAACTAGAAGCTAGAAGAAAAAGGGGTAACATGATCACTATGTATAAAATAGTAATTGGAATTGACAAAATGTTTTTGGAAAAATTCTTGAGGCCTATAACTTCAAGTACAAGTGGTCATTGATTTAAACTACCCGGTAGCTAAACAAAGCTGCCGAAGGAATATAAGAAAATTCACTCTTGCAAACAGAGTGGTAAATGGTTGGAACAAGTTAAGTGTGAAGGTGGTGGAGACCAAGACCGTCAGTAGTTTCAAAGTGTTGTACGACAAGAGTACTGGGAAGAGGGGACAACATGAGCATAGCTCTCATACTGTAATTACATTTGGGTAATTATACACACACAGTTGAAGAGAACACACACAGTTGAAGCATAACACTAGTTCACACTAGTTTTGTGCATCATTATATGCAAAGGCTCTGTAATAAAAAGGAAAATCATATACAGTATTGTATTTGTTATAGATCACCTAAAAATTTACTTATTTAATATGTAATAATAATTTTTTGACATCTTAATTTTTATACAGCATATATATACAGTATAGTATTTGTATTCAGTGTACTGTATACAGTATACAATGCTTGAGCAAATGAATAATAGTAATTTCCAGACTTTTCAGTGCTTCTTTTTTTAACTAATTGATGTAATTTTCAGAGAAACAAATCTTAAATGCAAGCAATGCCTGCCTGAGACAGAAGACCTTGGACAGGATACTAGTCTCATTGGAGCATTCCAAGGGGAGATTCGCTGTGAACCCCCGAACAATCAGCTCAATAAGTTCGATGGAACTTTACACTGGGAGGGCAACATGTAAGCCAATAGTGCTTTAACCTTGTAACCTTAACTTTCACCTTTGTGTTGCAGAGGAGAATGCAGTACTGTATGTAAGTGGTATCATGAACATCTTGCATAAATGGTATACTGTAATTTATAATTGCCATATAACGTGAAGAATTTTTCATTCGACTGTTGATTACAGTACTGTATTAAATGTTATAAATTAAATATTTTGTCTATACTGAGTACTCCATTTTATACAATAATTGTTTTGTAAGATGTTCATGGTACAACATACAACGTACTGTTGTATTATCATAAATAGGAGATGGTTAATATTAAATTAAATTCTGTTACAGTATTAGTAAGTATTATTATGTTATCATCATCAACATCAGTTAGATGGCAAATTAATGTTTAGTGTACTTTACCTGAATTTATTAAAGGACCACAAATTTTAGTGGACTTGAGAACAGGAAGGTGATAGTTTGTCTTGTCAAAGGTCATCTTGAGGTTATCTTGAGATGATTTCGGGGCTTAGCGTCCCCGCCGCCCGGTCCTCAACCAGGCCTCCTTTTTGTTACACATCCCCAGGAAGCAGCCTGTAGCAGCTGACTAACTCCCAGGTACCTATTTACTGCTAGGTGAACAGTGCATCAGGGTGAAAGAAACATTTTGCCCATTTGTCTCTGCCTCCACTGGGGATCGAACCCGGAACCTCAGGACTATGAATCCAAAGCGCTGTCCATTCGGCTGTCAGGTGCCCACATTACTGCTGAAGATATTTTCCAGATGAATTTTGAACCTGAATACCATCTTGGCATTTTCATTTACCATATTCACGATCCGGGATCCCAGGTTTGATTCCTGGATGGGACAGAAATGGTTGTGCACATTTCCTCTCAACTGATGCATCTGTTTACCTAGCAATAAATAAGTATCTGAGAGTTAAGCAAATATTTTGAGGCTGGTTCCTGGGGAAAGTTCAATAGTTCAGTATTGGGGGGGGGGTCCTCGATATAAGTCTCAGGTATACTGCATATATACACAAGTTCTTGTCCCCAATAAAGCAAATTAAGTGCTTTGGTTTTCTTCTCTGCCATTCGGCTTGCATCTATCATAACTTCATAATGGTCAGAGATGGCTCAGAATGTCATCATTTCCATTTCTAATTTGTAAGTTTTGTGCTTTTATTTTACCATATATGGATATAATAAATATTTTGTAATAAGGCTTCCTTTGGTTTTTCAGGCACTCGCTAGATAATGACAAAATCCTCCTCAGAGGGTGCATACTGCGGAACACACACTGGTGCTATGGAGTGGTTATATTTGCTGGCAAAGACACTAAACTTATGATGAACTCTGGGAAAACAAAGTTCAAACGCACAAGTATTGATAGATTGTTAAATTTCATTATTTTAGGGGTGAGTTGATCAGTTTTGCAATGTCTTAATGATTGTTTTCTAAACTGTATAAATTTCCAAATTATTTTTCTATAGTTTGTATTAACCTCTTGTGTATTTTTACCTTTCAGATTGTATTTTTTCTTCTCTCCATGTGCCTGTTTTGCACAGTGGCTTGTGGTATTTGGGAAACTCTCACAGGTAAATTTGTCAGTTTATCAATTTATATAAATAATAAATATGAAATACAATGTACCATACTACTGTACTATTTTTAATCATATTTCTATTTACATCTTCACTTCATAGTTATATAATGCAAAAAGCACCATTTGGGTAGTAATGATGTCGTTATCACTCGGTCCTTAGTTAGGTATAGAGAGAGAGAATCCTATGAAAGAAATAAATGAGTGAAAAAGTCTTCAATGGTACAAATTGTTTAGTAAACAGTATAGTAAATGGGTAACTGTAAATATGAGGTACCATGAATGAATTTTAGGATAAAAGTTAATTCTAGGTATACATAATTTCATGGTAAACATTTCCAATGTAAATGTTTATCAAGGTAAACATATATCAAGGTAAGCATATATAAGGAAAACAAATTTGATGCAACATTAATTCCAAGGTAAAAAAAAAATTGGTGAATAATGTCAGAGATAGGTAAATAGGGGTAAGGTCTGTCATGGGGTAAATGAGTACCCATACAATTTTTACCCAACATTTACTTTCCTAATTGTTAATTTCATAAGAACATAAGAACAAAGGTAACTGCAGAAGGCCTATTGGCCCATACGAGGCAGCTCCTATTCTATAACCACCCAATCCCACTCATATACTTGTCCAACCCGCGCTTGAAACAATCGAGGGACCCCACCTCCACCACGTTACGCGAGGTGAAGTCACAGTGAGAGGTTGTGTTAACCGGAGCTCCTGAGTGTTGTTATATTATCATAGCAATATGGAAGTTGTAGTTAAGGACCTGGTGACTCTAGTGGGAGCCCTGAGGACAGAGTTGGACTCTCTGCGGGAGGAGGTGCGTCAGCTGAAAGAACAACGAGAAGTAACGAAGGAGGAGACCAGTAGTAAAGGGACCTCGTCTTGGAGAGTTGTGAAAGACAGGGGCCTTAAGAAGACTTTGATAAAGCCGCCTTCAAACGCCATAGCAACTTCTAATTCATTTGACGTTTTGGAGGACGAGTGCTGTGGTGAGACTGCGGATCGCGCAAAAGGGAAAGCAACGAAGAGAAAGGAAGCGCAGGCCCCTCAGAAAGTAAAGGAAGTACCTAAGCAAACATTAGTTGTGGGAGATTCCCAGATAAGGTATTTGGATAGAACGTTTTGTGCTAGAGATAGGGGGAACAGGTTAAGGGTTTGCTATCCCGGAGCTGGCATTGGTGATATTATAAACAACATGAATGATATTATGGCTGGTAATGGGAACAATCCCATTATTTGCATTAGCGTGGGAGGAAATGATGTTGGTCGAGTTAGGAGTGAGGAACTGATTCAGAGGTATAAAACAGCCATAGAGTTAGTTAGGAGCAAGGGAGGAATCCCGATCATATGTGGCATTCTTCCAAGAAAGGGAGTGGGAAATGAATGGATATCGAGGGCACTTGGTGTCAATTGCCGGCTGGAAAGATATTGCAAATCAAATGCAATATCTTTCATAGACAACTGGGAACACTTCTATGGAAGAAATGAAATGTATGCTCGTGATGGGGTGCATCTATCGAGAGCTGGGGTTGTTGCTGTTGCGAACTCGTTAGAAGAAGTGGTTAGAGGTGTTTGTTTGGGTTTAAACTGTTAGTAGATAGAGGTATGGGAATTGATTTGGAGGAAGGAGGTAATAAAAGTATGTGTTTGTGGGAGAAAGGAATTGGCAAAACGATCAGGGAAAGAGAAGGTCCGCAAAATAACAATTCACTTAGGGTATATTACACTAACAGTAGAAGTCTAAGAAATAAAATTAACGAATTAAATGCTCTTGTCTGCACAGAAAAAATAGATATTATTGCACTTACCGAAACGTGGATGAATGTAGAAAATAGAGAACTATTAGCTGAATATCAAATATATGGATTTAAACTATTTCACACAGATAGATATATTAGACGAGGAGGTGGAGTAGCCATATATGTTAGGGACAATTTGAAATGTAGTCTCAAAGAGGGAATCAAAACAGAGCCACACACAGAAACTATTTGGATAGAATTAAACGAAAAAGCTAATAATATTATAATAGGAGTAATATATAGGCCACCAAATTTAGACAGAATGGAAGCAAAGCATCTATGGGATGAAATATCTAGAGCATCTAGATCTAACAGTATTTATGTCATGGGTGACTTTAATTTTAGCGGAATAAACTGGTTGAACAAAACAGGGAATAGTGAAGCAGAAGATTTTCTAGAATTAATTGACGATTGCTTTCTTACGCAACACATTAAGGAACCAACACGGGAAAATAATATTTTAGATTTAGTGTTAACTAACAGGGAAACGCAAATTAATGACATCGAAATAGGGAGTGAGCTAGGGAGCAGTGATCACAAAGAAATCAGATTTAGCATAGAATGGAATAGACCAGTAGGAGAAAATTCTGTTAAAGTGCCAGATTTTCGAAAAGCTGATTTTAATAGCCTAAGAAATTTTTTGGGTCAAATTGATTGGAAAGTCTTGGGTATGGGGTGTGGGCCGGTCTTGGAGCGAGACATGAACCCAGCGATAGGTGACTTAAATGGGGATTTCGATGTGGATTCAATATATAACTTATTTAAGAATATTCTAAACAAAGCACAGGAACGTAGTATACCATACAAATTGAATAGATCGAATACTAATGACCCAAAGTGGATAACAAAGAATTTGAAGAACCTTATAGGTAAAAAGAGAGCTTGGTACAAAAGGATTAAAAATGGGGAGGTCACTTTAGAACAGGAATTCGTACAACTGGTTAGAAATGTTAAAAAAGAGATAAGGAAAGCAAAAAGAAACTATGAAGTTCGCATAGCAGGGCAAGCAAAGACAAATCCTAAAGGGTTTTTTCAGTTATATCGTACTAAGACTAGGGAAAGGATAGGTCCATTAAAAACTGAGACAGGTCAAATAACAGATAGTGATGAAGAGATGAGTAGTATTTTTAATAAATATTTTGTATCTGTATTTACTAAAGAGGAACTTAACAATATGCCTTCAGCCGAACAAGTCTATGTGGGTGGGGACGAGGACAGGTTGACGAGTTTAGCAGTTACCAGGGAGGATGTTCTTAAACAAATAGTAAAACTCAAACCAAACAAATCCCCAGGGCCGGATGAAGTGTTTGCCAGGGTGCTTAAAGAATGCAAAGAGGAGCTTTGTGACCCACTGTCAACCATATTTAATAAATCAATAGAGTCAGGCAGAGTGCCAGAGTTTTGGAAAGTTGCTAATGTGATACCAGTTTTTAAGAAAGGAGATAGATCACTTGCGTCTAACTATCGACCAATTAGCCTAACGTCTATTGTGGGAAAGTTACTCGAATCTATAATAGCAAATAAAATTCGTCTTCATCTTGAAAAACATAAATTAATAATTGAGTCGCAACATGGTTTTATAAATGGCCGTTCATGTTTAACAAATTTGTTATCTTTTTATTCTAGCATTGTTGAGGCAGTTGATAGTGGTAAGGATTGCGATGTTGTATACCTTGACTTTAGCAAAGCTTTTGATACAGTGCCACATGAAAGACTGATTAAAAAGATAGAGTCTCATGGTATTGGGGGTGCTATATTAAGCTGGATTAGGGCATGGCTATACCAAAGGAAACAGAGAGTTAGTATAAATGGAATCAAGTCAGAGTGGGAAAATGTTGTAAGTGGAGTGCCTCAAGGCTCTGTCCTGGGACCTCTGTTGTTTATAATATATATAAATGATTTAGATTCAGGTTTGAGTAGCAACATTTGCAAATTTGCCGATGATACGAAAATCGGTAGGGAAATTAATTCGGAGGAGGACTCACTATCACTTCAAGTTGATCTAGATAGGGTTTTGAAATGGTCAAAGGATTGGCAGATGCAGTTTAATGCTGATAAATGTAAAGTTCTGAGGTTAGGTAATGATGATAGAGTTACAAGATACGAGCTAGATGGTGTTGTGATTGCGAAGTCGGATTGCGAAAGGGATCTGGGAGTTATGATTAGTAAGAATTTAAAACAAAAGGATCAATGCATAAATGTTCGTAATAAGGCAAATCGGACACTTGGATTTATTAATCGCAGCGTTAGTAACAAGACACCTGGTGTGGTTCTCAAGCTATATCTTGCTCTAGTTAGGCCCCATTTAGATTATGCAGTTCAGTTTTGGTCGCCATATTATAGAATGGATATAAATTCACTTGAACGTGTCCAGCGTAGGATGACTAAGTTAATTCCCCAAATTAGAAATCTTTCATATGAAGAAAGATTAACAAAGCTTAAGTTGCATTCACTGGAAAGGCGAAGAGTTAGGGGTGACATGATAGAGGTTTACAAGTGGATGAATGGACATAACCGGGGGGATATTAATAGGGTATTAAAAGTATCAACACAGGACAGAACACGAAACAATGGGTATAAATTGGATAAGTTTAGATTTAGGAAAGACTTGGGTAAATACTGGTTCAGTAACAGGGTTGTTGATTTGTGGAACCAATTGCCGCGTAACATTGTGGAGGTGGGGTCCCTCGATTGTTTCAAGCACGGGTTGGACAAGTATATGAGTGGGATTGGGTGGTTATAGAATAGGAGCTGCCTCGTATGGGCCAATAGGCCTTCTGCAGTTACCTTTGTTCTTATGTTCTTATGTTCTTTCCTAAATCTAAACTTATCCAATTTATACCCATTGTTTCGTGTTCTGTCTTGTGTTGATACTTTTAATACCCTATTAATATCCCCCTTGTTATGTCCATTCACCCACTTGTAAACCTCTATCATGTCACCCCTAACTCTTCGCCTTTCCAGTGAATGCAACTTAAGCTTTGTTAATCTTTCTTCATATGAAAGATTTCTAATTTGGGGAATTAACTTAGTCATCCTACGCTGGACACGTTCAAGTGAATTTATATCCATTCTATAATATGGCGACCAAAACTGAACTGCATAATCTAAATGGGGCCTAACTAGAGCAAGATATAGCTTGAGAACCACACCAGGTGTCTTGTTACTAACGCTGCGATTAATAAATCCAAGTGTCCGATTTGCCTTATTACGAACATTTATGCATTGATCCTTTTGTTTTAAATTCTTACTAATCATAACTCCCAGATCCCTTTCGCAATCCGACTTCGCAATCACAACACCATCTAGCTCGTATCTTGTAACTCTATCATCATTACCTAACCTCAGAACTTTACATTTATCAGCATTAAACTGCATCTGCCAATCCTTTGACCATTTCAAAACCCTATCTAGATCAACTTGAAGTGATAGTGAGTCCTCCTCCGAATTAATTTCCCTACCGATTTTCGTATCATCGGCAAATTTGCAAATGTTGCTACTCAAACCTGAATCTAAATCATTTATATATATTATAAACAACAGAGGTCCCAGGACAGAGCCTTGAGGCACTCCACTTACAACATTTTCCCACTCTGACTTGATTCCATTTATACTAACTCTCTGTTTCCTTTGGTATAGCCATGCCCTAATCCAGCTTAATATAGCACCCCCAATACCATGAGACTCTATCTTTTTAATCAGTCTTTCATGTGGCACTGTATCAAAAGCTTTGCTAAAGTCAAGGTATACAACATCGCAATCCTTACCACTATCAACTGCCTCAACAATGCTAGAATAAAAAGATAACAAATTTGTTAAACATGAACGGCCATTTATAAAACCATGTTGCGACTCAATTATTAATTTATGTTTTTCAAGATGAAGACGAATTTTATTTGCTATTATAGATTCGAGTAACTTTCCCACAATAGACGTTAGGCTAATTGGTCGATAGTTAGACGCAAGTGATCTATCTCCTTTCTTAAAAACTGGTATCACATTAGCAACTTTCCAAAACTCTGGCACTCTGCCTGACTCTATTGATTTATTAAATATGGTTGACAGTGGGTCACAAAGCTCCTCTTTGCATTCTTTAAGCACCCTGGCAAACACTTCATCCGGCCCTGGGGATTTGTTTGGTTTGAGTTTTACTATTTGTTTAAGAACATCCTCCCTGGTAACTGCTAAACTCGTCAACCTGTCCTCGTCCCCACCCACATAGACTTGTTCGGCTGAAGGCATATTGTTAAGTTCCTCTTTAGTAAATACAGATACAAAATATTTATTAAAAATACTACTCATCTCTTCATCACTATCTGTTATTTGACCTGTCTCAGTTTTTAATGGACCTATCCTTTCCCTAGTCTTAGTACGATATAACTGAAAAAACCCTTTAGGATTTGTCTTTGCTTGCCCTGCTATGCGAACTTCATAGTTTCTTTTTGCTTTCCTTATCTCTTTTTTAACATTTCTAACCAGTTGTACGAATTCCTGTTCTAAAGTGACCTCCCCATTTTTAATCCTTTTGTACCAAGCTCTCTTTTTACCTATAAGGTTCTTCAAATTCTTTGTTATCCACTTTGGGTCATTAGTATTCGATCTATTCAATTTGTATGGTATACTACGTTCCTGTGCTTTGTTTAGAATATTCTTAAATAAGTTATATATTGAATCCACATCGAAATCCCCATTTAAGTCACCTATCGCTGGGTTCATGTCTCGCTCCAAGACCGGCCCACACCCCATACCCAAGACTTTCCAATCAATTTGACCCAAAAAATTTCTTAGGCTATTAAAATCAGCTTTTCGAAAATCTGGCACTTTAACAGAATTTTCTCCTACTGGTCTATTCCATTCTATGCTAAATCTGATTTCTTTGTGATCACTGCTCCCTAGCTCACTCCCTATTTCGATGTCATTAATTTGCGTTTCCCTGTTAGTTAACACTAAATCTAAAATATTATTTTCCCGTGTTGGTTCCTTAATGTGTTGCGTAAGAAAGCAATCGTCAATTAATTCTAGAAAATCTTCTGCTTCACTATTCCCTGTTTTGTTCAACCAGTTTATTCCGCTAAAATTAAAGTCACCCATGACATAAATACTGTTAGATCTAGATGCTCTAGATATTTCATCCCATAGATGCTTTGCTTCCATTCTGTCTAAATTTGGTGGCCTATATATTACTCCTATTATAATATTATTTGCTTTTTCGTTTAATTCTATCCAAATAGTTTCTGTGTGTGGCTCTGTTTTGATTCCCTCTTTGAGACTACATTTCAAATTGTCCCTAACATATATGGCTACTCCACCTCCTCGTCTAATATATCTATCTGTGTGAAATAGTTTAAATCCATATATTTGATATTCAGCTAATAGTTCTCTATTTTCTACATTCATCCACGTTTCGGTAAGTGCAATAATATCTATTTTTTCTGTGCAGACAAGAGCATTTAATTCGTTAATTTTATTTCTTAGACTTCTACTGTTAGTGTAATATACCCTAAGTGAATTGTTATTTTGCGGACCTTCTCTTTCCCTGATCGTTTTGCCAATTCCTTTCTCCCACAAACACATACTTTTATTACCTCCTTCCTCCAAATCAATTCCCATACCTCTATCTACTAACAGTTTAAACCCAAACAAACACCTCTAACCACTTCTTCCAACGAGTTCGCAACAGCAACAACCCCAGCTCTCGATAGATGCACCCCATCACGAGCATACATTTCATTTTTTCCATAGAAGTGTTCCCAGTTGTCTATGAAAGATATTGCATTTGATTTGCAATATCTTTCCAGCCGGCAATTGACACCAAGTGCCCTCGATATCCATTCATTTCCCACTCCCTTTCTTGGAAGAATGCCACATATGATCGGGATTCCTCCCTTGCTCCTAACTAATTCTATGGCTGTTTTATACCTCTGAATCAGTTCCTCACTCCTAACTCGACCAACATCATTTCCTCCCACGCTAATGCAAATAATGGGATTGTTCCCATTACCATGAAAGCTAAGGTTTATATTGGCCTGCACAACATGGGGCAGTAAAAAAAAAGGCTTTTGCACTCACTCCCAGAAAATGCTTTATTGTATCACACTTCATATATCAGGACCAATGCTTAATAAGTAGAATAATAGTTTAAGATAATGAAGAGTTCCAATTGGGCAATATTTTTGGATAGAGTGATAATTAGTGGATTGTAAGGGCTTTGCTTATATATAATAAGTATAAAGGATTTGAAGGTTGCATTAGAAATAAGACAACTTATCTAAGGTTGAATAAGAAGTAAATTTATTTTGCTTTAGTTTTAAACTGTTGCCAGTTTAGTTTTTATGTGAAAGTGATGATATTATTACATGTTACAGGTCAGTACTTCAGAGTGTACTTGCCTTGGGACTCGCTAATACCACCAGATCCTGCAGGTGGCGCTACTGTGATAGCCCTTCTGGTCTTCTTTTCATATGCTATAGTCCTGAACACCGTAGTGCCTATTTCTTTATATGTTAGGTAAGTATCATCCAGGATTAGAAATTAATTTTAATAATAATTATAGCGATAGTTCTGCAAGCTATTTAGTTACATGTCTTTGGTGCCTTTTCCAATTTATTAATGTGTTTCTTGAGATATGGGCACCATACAACTGCAGCATGTTCCAATTTTGGTCTCACAAAAGTTGTGAGCAATTTCTTCAATATTTTGCCATCCATGTACAGTATTTAAAAGTGGTTATACAATTGGAAAGTATGGTATAATTCACATTTCTCACACAATGTTCTTTATATGGTCCTCAAGTAATAGTTTTCTATTCACCACCCCCTAGATCTCTCTCCTTATCAGAATTATTTAAAGCTTTGTCACATAATTTGTAGGTTGTGTGTGTGTTTTCTATTTTCTCCTATTCCAGATTCCATAACATGACATTTTATTCACATTATTTCCTTTACCAAGTGCTACTCCACACACTTCATTTATCCAGGTCTTTTTAGGGAATGACAATCATCTGAGTTTCCCTATCTTCCCTAGCTGGTGCTAGAATTGAACCCTGTGGTGTTAAACTACCGTAGTAACATTTCTCCAGTCTGATACATTGCCTGTGATTATGGCCCTCATTTTTCTGTTATAAAAATTTTCATCCATGTCAGCAGTGTATCTGTCACCCCCTCCAGTATGGTGCAGTTTCCAGAAGAACCTCTTATGTGGAACGCTGTCGAAAGCCTTTTTTAGGTCCAGATGAATGCAGTCAACGCAACTCTCTCTTTCCTGTAAAATCTCTATGGCTCTAAACTAGAAACTAAGTAGATTTGTTATATATAGGATTTCCTGTTCAGAAAACATACAGAAACCATAAATCTGTCTGTGATATTACAGTATATTGTTTCTCTCTAGGTGTTCTACCCATTTGATTTTAATTATTTTTTCTAACATTTTGACTACAATGCTTGGTAACAATACAGGTCTATAATTAAGAGGGTGTTTCCTGCTACTATTTTTGTAGAGTGAAACTATGTTTGCCTTTTTCCATATGTCTGCCAAGACTCCTGTACACAAAGATGACTGAAAAATGAATTGAAGTGGATAGCTGATCTCAGATGCATTCTTTCTCAGAACCCAAGGTGAAACTCCATCTGGGCTCACTGCCTTGTTTCTACCCAGCTTATTTTTTTATGATTTATGTAGAAACAAAATATTATCTACCTTGATCATTTTTTCCCACTTTGTTCAGACACACCTATGTACTCTCCAGTATTCTATGAAATATGTACAGTATTGTGTCTGGTTCTCTTAAGTCTTAATTTTCCAAACACCTTTTGAAGCCAGTCATTTAGTGTTTCACAAGTTTCCTGTTCATTCTTCTTGAATCTGTTCCCCATTTCAACCTTTGAATTTTGACATTTATCCTTTACCTGCAATTTGCTTTTAATGAATTAAAAGAATAGTTTTGGTTCTGTTTTACACTTATCCACAGTTTCAAAGATTCTCAGTTTCTTTCTGCCTCCCTTCTCACTGCCGTGTAGTTGTTTCTTGCTTGTTTGTACAGCAGGTATGTTTGAAGGTTAGGTCTCTTCCTATACTCAATAAGTTTTTTGTCTTTTGTTCTCTGGCCCTCTCACAGTTTATGTTAAACCAATCCTGCTTTGTAGTTCTACTTCTCTGTCTTGGTATGAATTGTGTTGTACCTTCATCATATACAGTAGAACCTCGAGTGACGACCGCCTCAAATGGCTACCAATTTGGGTAACGAATGCCCCGATCCCCAACAATTCGTCTCGTTAGGTGACCGCTCATTTGAATAACGTCAACACCACATGGTGAGGTCGCGGGCTGCTTTTCTCACATTCTCGGATGGCTCCAACGATGCAGATAAATTATTTTTCATTGTTTAAAGATGCTATTGATGCTGGGATGTTGCAAAGCATTGACTTTTTTGTAGAAAAACGAAAGGAATTTTTTTTAAAGAAAAGAACAAATGTCAAAAAGGTTCGTTTGGTTTTCAGCAGGTAGGCTGCTCCATGTTTCTTAAATAAAAAAAAAAAAACGAAAAATAAAAAAAAAACAGCTCAAACAATTTGAAAAACTGACAAATGCCATAAAGGTTCGTTCAGTGTTTGTCAGGTAGGCTGCTTCAGTATTGAGAAATAAATTAAAAATACAAAACAAATGGAACACATTCGAAACACAGAAAGATTGTCATAATGGAGCAGCCTACCCAACAAACACTGAACGAACCTTTATGGAATTTGTCCGCTTTTCAAATTGTTTCAACTGGTTTTTATTTTTAGTTTTTTTTTATTTAAGAAACATGTAGCAGCCTACCTGCCGAACACCAAATGAACCTTTTGACATTTGTTCTGTTTTTCAAAAGTCTTCATTTTTTTTTTTTTAATTTTTTTTTTTTTTTTAAGAAACATGGAGCAGCCTACCTGACAAACACGAACGAACCTTTTGCTATACAAAAAAAAATGAAAAAAAAAATTGAACAAATTTGAAGAAAGAAAAATGTCTAAAAGTTTATTCAGTGTATGTAAGGTAGGCTTCTCCATTATTTAAAACATCGAATATCATATTGATGTTTTTCGGTAGTAGAACGGATTATTTCTATTTACATTCTTTTCAATCGGGAGCTTCGTTTTGAATGATGTCAGTTTCACCTGACAACCACGGCGCCGAAATGGATTAAAGTCGTTATTCGAGGTTCCACTGTATCTCAAAATTTGGCATACATCTCGGTTATTTTGTTTTTGCCTAACAATCAAATTCTTTCCAATCAAATTCTTTAAAGAACTTGCAAAGTTCCCCATATTTTCCTATCATGAAATCAAGTTTTCAGTTTTCATTTTCCCCATTCTCTTGTACTGTACTTTATAATGCATTGCATATTTTATTTTCAGCTTCTCCTTTGTCTGTGTGTTGCTTGCTGGTGGACTGTAGGCATTAATGATAATCAGTATATCATCCTGATTACAAAACTCCAGTACCATTATGTCAACTTCTTATTGATTGTCGATATTTGATTCTCTTACCTTCAGGTATTCTTTCTCCAGCACTGCAATTCTTCCTCTTTTTCTATTTTTTCTGTCACTTTTCCAAATGGAAAAGGAATACAGGAAGCTCTTCAGGAATACAACCTCCTTTAAAATATTATCCTAAAGTTTCATCTCCATTAGTGCAACAATATGTGGCATCTTAAGCTCTATTCTATTGTTTAGCTCCAGTATTTTTTATATCCCTCCCTGCTCCAGTAATTTTAACTATGCACTTTTTCTCCAAGTATCAGTTTTAAAAAATCAAAGTCCATTTAGTTTAGTCCAGTAAGTAAAATTTAGCAGTCTCCATGGTGCAGAGGTAAGACATTCGCCCAGTGCTTCGCAACCGCTTTGGCTTGGGTTCGTATCCTGGCCGTGGAAGATTGACTGGGATGGGTATGGGGCGCTTAATAAAGAAAAGAATCAATCCTACAGAGAGATCACTGGAAATCACTACCACCACCTTTGATTAAAAATTCTATGATCTTCACACACACAACTTGAAGGATGACACTGTAGCAGAAAGTTAGAAGGCACATCTACAATCCCAAATAACGATGACTATACTGTAATCATCAAGTGTCCTGCCTGAGCATTCTGATGAATGGGACACTGCCATTCTCTCCCAAAACCCATTCTATAATTTTACAAACCTGGTAATGTTTGACAGGATCCTCAGAGCAAGGCCACCAACATCCACCTTGTTAGATAATGCCATAACCATCAACTTTCATTGTCATAATACCCACGACCTCCAGCATCAATAGCCTATATTGCCACAATGCCAGAAACCTTCCACACCATAAAAATGATGGACTAACTAAACCAAAACTTCAGCAACATTAGCTGAAACATGAAAAAAAAACCGTAATGAATAGATGGCTTAACTTTACTTATGCCAACACCTTTATGGCTACTGCATTCCAAAATCTAAAATTTTCTTCCATCCATATATCTACCATCCACCTCGTAACAAACCCATGGGTCAAAATAGATAACAAATACATTACAGTATATGCATACATGACATTAATTCATTCTAATGTTGTATAGTGTTTAATACAGTTTTTAATTCAGAACATTTCTTCTATTAATATTAAATGTTTTTTTTTCCAGTGTGGAAGTGATTCGGTTATGCCAGAGTTTTCTCATCAACTGGGATGATGCTATGTATCATCCACCGAACAAAACACATGCCAAAGCCCGTACAACCACTCTCAATGAAGAGCTTGGGCAGATAGAGTATATATTCTCTGATAAAACTGGGACTCTCACACAGGTATTACACAGCAATTGTAGTTTCTAGATTTTTCTGTCTTATCCTCAATTTGTAATTTTATTTTCTTCCTTTTCATTCAAAATACAGTTGGCCATGGGCTTTTCGAACCCCTCAGGACTGAGACTGAACGGATAACCTGTTGTATTCCAATAAGGGGTTCATAATTCTGAAAAGCTATGGGAAAAAATATTTACAATTTTGTTGCAGAAATATGACAGTGTTTTGTTTGTACTCACAAATATGAAAAGTTCTGATCTGGTTGTTAACTTGAAAAGTATAGTTGATGGAGCATAGTTATTTAGATAGAAATGGGGTTGGTGGATGATGATAGTGTTGGGTTGATAAGTGGAGAGTAATGGTGATGAGGTAACCTCAACAAACTGACTTTCACCATGTACTCTAATGTACCTTATGCCATGGCAGAGTTTAAAGCTTTTGAGCCATCCATTGGTGTATGAAGACTGCTCAAGTGGCGCTGTGTACGGTTACTATGCAAACTTGGTCTATCTTTATTATACACTTTTATTCAGACTGCCTGCCCCACCAGTTATCCGAGCTTTTTTATCCAAACGAACCCAAATCGAATAACAGGCATTTTTGGAAAAAGGGGGTTTGGAAAATATGTGGCTGACTCTAGTTGGTCTTGTGTGAATGTAGCTAACCTAGATACAGTATTGAACAATATTTTGTTTACTTGTCATTATCATATTCCTTTAATATAATGCAGGAGTTCTCATAATAAATGTGAAGAAACACCATGTAAGGGTGAATCTTTATGGACATGTTGTTATCATGATAATTTTGTTCAAGTCATTTGAGTAGAACAATTATTGAGTAGAACATGACAAATGATAAGGAACATGTCTTAGTGAAAACTATTTATTTTTATTTATTTATTTTGTATTTGTTCAAGTATGTTAGTTCTGGTACTCTGTGGTGTTTAGTATGAAAGGTATAGTGAATAGTGTTTTATTCTAAATTTATTTAATCCTTTATTCCTATACTTTCTTAACATGGAATTGGAAGTAGGTGATGGAATGTAAGATGGAAGCACGTTGCGGAAAGTTTTTTTTCTGTGGAGAGTCCCTTCGGCTCCCCAGAGCTATACCGGGCTGATGTGTATATATTAGACCATGGCAAAAGTCAATTGATGGAGTTCTAAGCCTACCAGGGACCACGAGCCAGAACCTGGCCCCCCCTCAGAAAGGCACACGGAGCAATGGCCTATAGACACCCCCATGTGGTTGGAAGCAGTCTGTATTTGCCATCTACAAGGTCAGGCATCCAGAAAGGTAGGAATCCCAAAACAAACTACAGCAGTTAAAAATTGCAAACCAAAAACCAAACTAACAAGCAGTATTCCCCAATCAGAAAACAAGCAAACAAGCATGACGTCACCAAAGCCGCCACATCGCTGTCTGCGCAACTCCCCCTTTCCCGAGAGGGGATAGGGGGAGCCCCAGACCTCCTGTGCCAGCTACCCAACAGCAGTGCTGTGTCTTGTGGTGCTGTACTGTGGTGTGGGGGTGTGCGAGCCAAGTGTAATTCCAGAAGTACTGGGGTTGCATGCATCTAAGGTCACCTTTCCTAGGTGCCCTGTATTACTGCCCTTGTGGTTTAGGGTTATCTTCCATAAGCTGTTCGGGAACTACCTACCTTGAGGTTACCTTGAGGTGCTTTCGGGGCTTAGCGGTCCCGCGGCCCGGTCGTCGACCAGAACCTCCACAGAGTTCTTTTGCTGCTCGGTGATTGCCTGCCCCTGGGGTCAGCTGGGGTTGTTCCTGCCTCTGTTTGACCTTGTGTAGGAGGTAGTATCGTCACTGGCTGGGGCGCAAGGTACTGTGCAGCTGTCTGATATACGCATAGTGGCCGGTTCTGTTCCCTGGGGTCGTTGTGCTTTGGCGGGGTTTTTCCTTTTCTTTTGTTTTGTTTTGGATTGTGGGGGTCTGTCTGGTGTGGCTGTAGATCTACTTGAATGATTTTGGTGACAATCCTGGGGACCTCCGCTAGGTCCCCATGATTGCACACATCGAGGGTTTCAGCTTTTGATTTGTTTGCTTGGTAGCTTTGGGATAACCGGTTAGCAGTACCTTGCCTGGGCTTCCATTAGCAGTCAGCCTAAGGGCCCTGGAAACCCCCATTGGGGCTTATTAGTCCGAGGGAGGAGACCTCTGAGTCCCACCTCGCTTCGTGCACGTTTGAAGGTTGCTCTGTCCCCTTGTCTCTGGGTGACATTCACCATCTTTGCCTCCACCATGCTGCCTGTTGGGTTGATGACACCTTTGACCCAGAATCTTGCGAGTGGTGTTTCTTGCATGTACTACAGTTCACCCAGTCCGATAATACGGTTGATAGGGTGCAGGCAGCATCTGCGTTGCATGCACGGTTTAGGTTGCTGCAATGCTCTAAGTTACTTGCCTTACTTCCAGATCGGCAGCAGAGGCATTCGAGCTTGTTCCTCCTGCCGGTGCGTATGGGTCTGACCAGTTTGACCCCTTTCTTTGTGTTTTTCAGCTGCCCTGGCTTTTTATTATGAGGCCGGGGCTTTGGGGGAATGGCTCGGCTCCGAGTCCTCGGTGTGAGGTTCCTGGGGCAGGGGAAGAGGGATGACTTGGGAGCCTTAGGCCCTGTTGGACCAGGCCTGGGTTTTTGTACCTCTTGGAGTGGGGCTTGCTGCTTCACGGAATGGGGTTCTCTTTTCGCTCTCTCTGCGTACGATTTGGATTTGGCGTCTACCCCTCCCCGGATTCGGTTCCGTGTTCCCGTGGGTTCCTCAGACTGTCCTTCTGGAGGTTTTCGTCTTGCAGTGTCCCTTCTCATGTGGTGAGGGCGGGTAGCCCTTGCTATTATGGATTATGATTGCCCTTGCTAGCCCTTGACCTTGCCAGACTGGATTATGATTTTGAGTATGGATTTTCGTGTTGGTACTGGGTTTGTTATGAGTTCCAGAGTCGTCTTGGTTGGCAGACTGCTCGCTCTTTTTGTTTGAGGCTTGGCACACATTCTGTCGGTCCCGTGCGCATGTGACGGGGGAAAAGGCTCAGACGGCATTGCAAGTTTTCCTGGAGGACGACTTTGAGCATCTCAATGCATACTGTTCGCCCCTGCCCTTCTGCAGGATGTTGGGGGTGATGGAGCTTCATGTGCAGGTTCCTTCCCTTTCAGATGCCTTGGTCGCAGAGGACCAAGCCTGCTGGCTTTGGCCCTGCATTCTTCTCCCTCCTCGAGCTGTCCTCGGATTGGCTTGAGATGGATTTGGAGGTGCTTGGGGCCGCCTCTGGGTCTGGTGCGTTGCCCTTGGTGGTGCATGTGTCATCTGCATTGTTGACCCTGTTCACGCCGCTCCTGCAGGATGCAGTTTCACATTTTTTTTGCTTTTCGACTCGTGTCGGCAGGCGGTGCTTGCTTCTTCCTTGGATTCCGCTTGGGCCCTGGCTCTTAGGTTGTCTTCGCCTTTTTGTCCGATGCTGTTTGCAGAGTCTGCGGCTGTGCGCTATCTGCAAGCGGCTTCTGCTAGTTGCTGTCCTCTGTCCGCCTTGTTGGTTCTTCCGGGGGCTTGTGAGGGGCCTTCTTGGAAGGGTCGTGCCAGGGCTCGGGGGTTCTTCCCGTTGTGGTGCCAGCCAGTGGTGCCAGCTTCGGGACAGGCGCTGCCTTCGGTTCCGTCTTTTCTGGTCGTTGCAGGGATCACCCTGTGCGCCGCTTAGGTTCTCCTAAGGTGCGTCGGCCCTTTGGTGGTTCGTCCCCTTGACGGGGCGATGGGGGCTGGGGAAGCTCGCTCTGTTCACTCGTGTCTGGTCCCATTATTTGTGGGCTTTTTGGGTAATTTCGTGCGCCCTGCAGTGGCGTTGGATGGCTCCTCCTCCTTAGGGGGTTCAGGGCTGGTGGGGCGGGCCTCTTCTCCGTCGTTGTCAAAGCTTCACAGAGTGGATTTGCTTGGGCGTGGTCGAAACGACCTCGTCTCTCAGGTGGGTTCCTGCCTGTTTCTAGTCCCAAAACGGGTCTGTGTGGGCCTCTGGTTCATTCTGGACTTGTCACATCTGAACTTGTGGGTTAATGTCCGTCCTTTCAGATGATTACTATGTTCCTGGTCCGTCTTCTGTTGGGGCCAGGCGCTTGGATGGTGTCCCTGGACCCGAGGATGCGTATTGGCACATCCAGGGTTCTAGGTTTGGCTCAGTTTTGTTATGGGGTGTATAGGTTGCCGGTTTTATTGCAGGGCGTTAAGGTTGCTGCTTTTGTTGCGGGGCATCAAGGTTGCCACTTTTGTTGCCTTCCATTCGGCTTGAATCTGGCACCTCACGTTTTCACACGCCTTACTCGGGTCGTGGTGGCCTGCCTGCATCTGTTAGGTGTTTGGGTTCTGGCCTGCCTCGACAACTGGCTAGTTTGGGCTCCCAGCCAGTCTGCATGTCTGCTTGCTAGGGATTTGGTTCTTTCCCAGCTCGCCAGGTTCAGTTTCCTGGAGACCTTTCAGATGTTCTATCTGGTTCCTTCGGGGACGTCACTTCCGCCTCATGCGACCGCTGGGTTTGACCTCCGGGGCCTTTGCGTCGGTTACTGCATTACCGGCTTCCTTTTGGGGCTTTCAAGGTTCTGTGCCTTGGCACCTACCCCAAGCTCTCGCTCGTTGTCTTCACTGCCGCGTCGTCTCCTGGCTGGGGCTTCGTGACCCATGCTCATCAGGCTGGCCAGGGACGGTGTGGTCGGTCCGTCGGGCTCATAGTGCGGTGCGGGTGTTCGCGGGTGTGTGGATGTCGCTCCGGAGGATTCAGGTCACTTGCGGATCGTTAAGCCGGTTTCTTTCGGACTGTTCCCCGGTGGTTCTTTGCTTGAACCATGGGGGGGGAGGGGGTTCTGTGAAGTCCTTAGTTTTTTGGGACTGGTCACTTCGGGTGACTTGTCTGCTAAGTTCTCGGGGTTTGACTCTCCTGGCAGTTCCCATTCGGGGGGTGTCTAAGGTCCTGGCTTGCTTGGAAACTTTCCAGGGAAGAGTTGTCCTT